CTCCCTGTGGTCAGAGGGCGGGGGCACTGAGCTCTGTTGTTATTTTATCTTTAACAGGATTGCTTGGGTTGTGCCACAAATGCATAATTCAGGAGTCAGCCCGAGACTTGAACAGAGCTTATACATGGAATTTGGGGTTCCTCTCTCTAGCCTCCTCCTTTTTAGAATTTCCTTTTTCATTTTCCAGCTGTCTTAGTCACTCTAAATGCTGTGTTTGGGTCTTCAAACTAGTAAGACTGTGGGCTTATATTTCAATTTTAGCCATTTCTCTTGGCACCAACAGGTCATGTTAACCTAAGCCATCTTGGTTAACTCCATAAAAGCTGGGAAATTTACTCAGTGATGTTACTTTTTTCCAAGTGTAGACCCCTTTCCAGTTTTTGCTTGCTTTTCTTCACTGCCTTTTAGAGATTTTTTTTTAGGGGAATGTGATTTAGTGTTTACACTGTTACATCAGTGGGAGGATTGGTCAGATAGAAGATACTTGTCACCACCAGAAGTGGAATTTATATGTAAATATATTAATTAGAAAACGGGAATGATTAAGAACCAGGATGTTCAATGTCAGAGTTTAATTTGTTCAATGTTTAATTCGTTGATGGTGAGTCCTTGTTCGGTTTCATCTAGGGTGTGACTTTGACAGCTGCCATCGGGGGTGCTGACATGCCCGTGGTCATCACTGTGCTGAACAGCTACTCAGGCTGGGCCCTGTGTGCAGAGGGCTTCCTGCTCAACAACAACCTGCTGACCATTGTGGGTGCGCTCATTGGCTCCTCGGGTGCAATCCTGTCCTACATCATGTGTGTGGTAAGAAACACTGAAATTAAAGGAAATGGCATTCTGAAAATAAGGATGTGTTTGTTATTTCTTTTATCTGCAGTAAAAATGACCATTAATTCTTACTCTCTTCAGCAGAAATGTCAGAATTTTTGGTTTGAATAAATTTGCAAGACTGTGTTTAAAGGTACTCAAGTGCAGATAATTAGGGAAATTAAATATAAAGATGAAAATCTTCTGACTCTCTCTGGTTATAAACACTCAAGATTTTGGTCTGTTTCCTTCTTTTTTTTGTGTATTACACATCTGTGCATTTACTTGTCTGATCATATTGTGTACTGTTTTGCACTTAATTTTTTTAATCTTACAAACTGTATTCTTGCTTTTTTTCTTAATAAAAATGCATTAAAAATTATTTTAAGGGACTTCATACTAAACCATCATATGGATGTACAAAATTGATGTAGTTTTTCCCTAATGCTGTACATTATAGGTTGTTTGATTTTTTTATTCCCTTTTATATATAAACATTTCTTTGGCATTTGTGATTTTTGTCTTAGGATTGATTCCCAGAAGTGAAAGGATAGTCTCTTTTTTATGCTCTTCCTACTCATTGCTGTGTTGTTTCCAGAAAGCCTGCTCCAATTTACACTCCTCCTGGTCGTCTGTGAGAGTGTGCCTGTCTTAAAGTTTTGTGGTTGCCACGATTTAAAAAAAAAAAAAAAAATTAACAGACAAATAGCTTTCTCGCTTCCTTTTCATTTCTAATTCTCCTCTTGATGGCAAAAAAGATATCCTGGAAAATAATTAGAGGTTTAAGTAGGAAACCTTTTCAAATTATAGATATTATTTTCTAAATAATAGTTTTGAATGACTGTGCAAGGTTAATAATCATGAGACTGAGTGAAATTAGAATGTGACTTTATACTGATTATATCCTGTAGACAAGGACAGTTATTCTACCTTCGTTTTATTACAACAGTAAACAAAAAACATTTGTTTTACAACTCAGAATTTCTCTAATGTTTTACTTGAAAAATTTCATTGTCGGTTTAATGCTGAAGTTATATTTTCTAATAAAAAGTTAGTTTTCTTTGGCCATATTGTAAAACAAAGGATTTGATAGCCCAAGCTCAAAATAAAGTAAGAGGTTTTAAAATTAAATCCCCAGGTTGTTTAGGGAATTTGGAAAGGTGGAAGTTGTGTCTTCTATTTGAGAAGTGTCAGGCTTTGGGTTTTTTAAAAACAAATGTTTATGAAGAAGAAAAAATTGATCCATATGTGTTAGAAATAATTTTCTCCAAGAACAAACTTTTTGTCCCTTAGTTTGACTCAGCTTCATTTGGTGAATTTAATGACCAGCAGGGGGCAGCAGACTTTTATTACTACTGTTTTTAAAACGAATACTGATTTTAAATACTGTCTTTTATTTTGGTAACTGAATATTTTTAAAGCTTCAACTCTCCTGGTCCAAATACTGATTTTAAAATGAAATGGGAAGATTTAAGTTTTAATAAAGCCAGTGGCATCCTGATATGGGCAGAGGAATGGAGGGCTTGTAGCTAGTTCTTCGAGTGTCATCATGGGGACCTTTTTGCCTTTATCCTTTTTTACTTAAAAAGGTTTTCTTTGGATTCTTAAACATATCAACAGTATTTCCCAAATTTCTGTTTGTGTCTGTTTTATTTCCTCTCCTTTCTAGTCTTCATTTTAGTTTCTTCATTATTACTGGTCATAGTTGTAGGTCATATACCACATAACCAAACTTTTACAGTGGCAGTTCTGTAACAGAACTAGAATGCGATGGTACTTGTTGAAAATACTCTTTTCTATATGTACTTCTGTAATTGTATTACATTCTCTTAATTTTTTTCTATCCTTTCATATTTCTTGATCTGTTTTCTCTAGTTGATGTTTTTTTTTTCCTTTCTATTAACACTGCCTCGGGCATGCCGTGTACTGTCAGCATCCCACAGATTTTTTTATTTCTCTACTGTATATAAAGCTAACAAGATACTGTTATAGTTGCCTGCCACTGTAGTATCACACTAGGTCAGATTGCTACTCTGTCTGTAATAGCAAATTGCATTAATTTGCATTCAAGGAGAGTTGAAGCTTTAAAAATATTCAGTTACCAAAATAAAAGACATTTAATGTGGGAAATTTGGAAGAAGATAGAAAAAGGTAAATAAATTTATAATGCATTGATTACCATGTAACTGGTAACATTTAATATTCTAATTCTAGTCTTTTTTCACATGCATATGCCTAAATGCATTTTATGTTTTATCACTAATAATTTCTGTGTTCAAACTAAGAATTTTTAGTGCCTACTTGCTATTATTCCACATAAGTATGTCATAATTTATACATGTCCATGTTACTAGTTGTTTTTAACTTTCTTTTTCTTCAGTATTATTTTCTGTGTATCATTGATTATTTCCTTAGTTTCAGTTTTTATAAATGCGATTAGTGGTACAAAGGGAGTAAGATCTTTCTGTTGGTTGCTGATAGTGATAAAATGATCTCCCCAAAGGATTGATTCTCTGATCAGAGCTCTCATCTGTGCTGTGTGGAGTACTTGTTTTGATGCACACTCTCTATTTTGTCTCATTACGGAACAACCAAGATAGTAAGAAAAATAAGCCTTATGTATTTTTCAATTTTGAAGATAGAAATTTTCTTTCCTCCTAAATTTTCCTGATATCTGAGTTTTCATATTAATCTTCATTTTTTCTTAGCTTATGCTTATTTATTATAAGAAATTGATTCTTTATGGTTGGAATAATAAAAATGAAATAGCTGCCTGTAATTGGGCATAGCTCAATACTGTGGGCATTATTTTAGGTGCTTTACAAATACTAGCTCATTTAATTCCCACACAACTTCTGGAGGTAGTAAATATTCTCATTTTACAAGGAAATGATTTAAAGATGCTGTTTATTACTTACTGTTGTGTGTATGGAGCCTGACCTTAGGACCTAGTATATTCAAATGAATATACTTATTAAATGAATAATAGATGAATATTTTCTCTGTTACCTCATTTCATATTTCAGAATCCTCTCTGGATAGGTTATGGTAGCAGATATATTGCCATATATCAATATCTGTTAATACCACTAATATGTTTATTTTCATTATTTTATTATTTATTGAAGGAAGCATGCAAGTCTAAGCCAGAACAGAGTGGATTTATTATGTGAGAGGGAATGGAATGCATCCCAAGTGGCTAATCAGCAATCCCTAAATTTGAGTTTCTGTTCTGTAAAGAATTATTTTGGGTGTCTTCTGAGTCTAATACTGTGGTTACACAACACCCAGTATTATAAAAACTGAAATGTCAACAGGGTCCAAACAACTACCTCAAATAAATGACTTGCTTTATATCCAGATGTCATATAGATATTAACCTCTTTATGATTTTACAGACCATTTACTTGAGAAAATGTCCAGACTGCCTGGGAAATAGAGAGCTTGCAAAAATGAAATAGCATTTTCAGGCCAAAATCAGACGAAATTTTCTGATTTTTGCACTTTGCCGCCTGGTTCCAAATGAAAATAGAACAGAATGAGGTGGTTGAAAGCCAAACCAAAAGTAATTTTTTGCCTTGCAATCAGTTAATTAGCACCTACAAAGCATTTAAGGGAGAGATGCTAGTAAATGGTATATATGTTCTTATTGCTTGCTTATGTCTATTCTCTGACTTTCCTTTGTTTTCAGATTTATTTCTTAGAGTTTGCTTGAAATTATGTGAACTAAGTGTTTCTTTAATGTAGCATACAATTATAAGGCTTAACTTAAAAGAAACAGTCGTGGACAGTGTTGTAAATACTTTGTCTTGGAAGCTCAGAACTCTTCAATCTGCAGATTAGTGGTCACAGGTCTCATTAATCACTTAAGCAAGCAAAGAAAAAGAACCAACCAAACAAAAAAACCTAACCAAAGTCCTAAACCCTAAACATTTGTTGAAAATATAATGTTGCAATGGTAAATTCAGAGATGAAAAATAATTTAGTTTTTAAGAGACCACATGGAATTAGCTTAATGGTGATAGGGTTGTGGAGATGTGTTTAACAAGTTGACTTTGATTGTTAAACTACTATGTTCCCACTTTTTCTCCCTAAGGTGCCCTCAGAAGTGGGTATATATTAATTAAATGTCCTCAGAAAATTCTTTCCTTCTCTCCCATTCATTTATATAGGAAAAAAGGAATGTTCCTTTTAAGCCAAGTTAGAATAAAATGGTTATATTTTCTACATCTGACTCTCTACAGGTTGTGTGGTACAGGTGATGCAACCTCTTGTATGTTTGACTTTTGTTTTTAAAAGTTACCTATGACCATCTCAATGTCTGAAATAGTCCTTTAAATCAATCTTTAAGGGCAAAAATTTGGTAGAACATATTTCTGGTTATTTAAGTTCAGAGTTCTGTAACTCAAAACCTTCATCAAAATCAGCATGTGTTGAATGTTCTGGAAGTCTCAGGTGTATGGCTGTTTGGATTTTCATTAAACCTTGGATTTAAGCATAGAAGATTGTGTTGAGAATTTAAAACTCCATGTCAGATTGGGACTATAAACTTAATTTAAAAGCATTACTTTAATTTTTCTCTGACCCTCTTATCCATCAATAAATATACATAAAGATATCCCAGGCTGTATTTTATTTGTAATAGTCTCAGCAAGTATACCAGACTGGGCTCTGTAAAATGTGAATGTTTTGTCAGGTAAATGATTTTAGGTCAAAAAGAACAATTAAAAAATTCCTGACAACATTTCTATCAGTCTGTCCATTCAAAACTTGTTATTGACGTGCTGCCTTGGTCAGGTGTGGCCCTCTGCTCATCTTCTCTGCTCCTCTTCCTGCCGCCTTCCCCTCTCTTCCCCAAGGTGGTAGCAGGCAGGGCTGTCTTTGGAAAGGCGGTCATGGTTTTTTTTTCCCTCTTGTGTTACTACTGAAAATCTCTAGGTGCTCTCTAATAATATAGTATTGTCTTTTTCAAAAAAAGTAATAAATTGACACATACAGCTTTTAAATAGTTTAAACAATGGATCAATGATATGTTTATTACAACTCTTTAAATAGGGTTTAATAATTTTTTTGGAACCTTTTCTGAAGTGATAAATTCAGTTTTGACCATGTAGAATGACCACTTTGATCATGTACAGTGATTTGAAGTCTTACAATGCTTTTGCTTATTCAGAGCATATAGCTGCTTGTCTTTTCTTTAGTCACTACACCTCCAGAGGTCTACAAAGTGTTTTCAAAACCAGATCAGTTACAGTCCCATATTTTAGTTGTGACGTTTGTATGAGACATTGTGGGATGACTGCAAATGAGCATGTAGTGAGAAGTGCCTTCTTTTTTTTCCAAATTATTTTTCTAGTTAAAAAGTTGGGTGTAAATTGTAATGAAGCAGTGTGCATATAAACTGACTCATCTACATTTTTGGAAGTGAAATATTTTAGGACCCTACTAATGAATCCAGTTATTTCTATTATAGCTTCTTGGAGCTGTAGTTGACTTGGAAAGTAAGACAATATCAACATTTCTTTTTTTCTTGACAAGAGGGCAGCAGACTTCTAAATAATGTGGATCCCTATCCTTTGATTCTTTCCTGGTGCCTCTTGATAGCTTGTTCTGGTAGCAGAATTCACCTGAGAGAATAGTAGAGTCATCTTGTAAAATTTCTTACAGTTCTCATTTTCTTTTCCTCTGGTGAAATACATGTAAATATGGACGTATAAATTGCTCAGTTAATATGCAGACACTAATAACTAGATCTGAATTTTTCATTGATTTCTTAATGTCACTGGTAATTTTTCATTAAATTCTTTTTAAAATTTATTTTTACTAAAACATCAGTGTTCATTTGATCTTATATATGTGATCTAAGTCAATTTCTTAGATGATCAAATAAAAATCTTTAGATGATTCTGAATGTTATATACACAGGATTCATACAATTTTTAAAAAAGTTACGTAGATTAAACTCACAGCTGATAATTTTCCTCTCTAGGCAATGAATCGCTCCCTGGCTAATGTGATTCTTGGAGGCTATGGTACTACTTCAACAGCTGGGGGAAAACCCATGGAAATTTCTGGCACACATACAGAAATCAACCTTGACAATGCAATTGACATGATTCGAGAAGCTAATAACATCATTATTACTCCAGGTAAAAAAACAAAAACTAAAAAGCAAACTTAATATGATAGCTGTTGCACTGATTAAAACAATAGGGGAAAAATTGAACTGAAACTTCTTTCATTTTTGAAAACATAATGGAAACTTAGAAGCAACCCTGTGATTACTAAGTGAAAAATACTGAGAATTCTCAGCTTAGGTTAATATTTTGGGGATCCTGTAGACATTCTATAAATTGATGTAGTAGGTTCTATCCATGTCTTTCTGTGATTCTGTACAGATGTATCAATCATCTTTGAGTCTTGTTATTTTTCTTGTCATCCATAATTCCTGGTCCTATTGTCAGGGTTAAATTAGATATAGTATGTGAAAGTGTCAGCTCACTCATTAGACTTGCTTTTAGTAAATGTTAACCTCTTTCCTTTCAAAAGTAAATATTTAAAAAATAATGTTGTTCCTAACAAGATGAGGTAACATGGCCTAGTAGAAAGAATTTGGTCTGGGGAGGTCACAAAACCTCACTTTTATTCTTAATTTTGCTTCTAACAATTGACAGGACATTGACCAACTCATTTAATCTCTTCAGGCCTCAATTTCCTACTCTACTGAGGTTTATTCCAGTTCTTTACTCTTATCACAGAATGCTGCGGTATTAGAGACAGTACGTTCTTCTTAGATTAAGATTCTCTGTTATGCTCTCATAGGAGATTTCTATAAAAAACGTCTATTATTGATTTGACATATGGGTACTTTGCTATTTGGTTATATACTCAGATGTGAATAACAAACAGCAGAATTGAGTGTTCAGGTGCAAGCCTTCTCAGTTGGGAGCAGTGTCCTTTTCTAGAGGCATTTGAAACATGTGGGTTGGGGTTTTTGGTTGTCTTAAAGATGGGGCTGCTACTGTCAGCTAATGTGTGGGAGTAGATGATCCCAATATGCTCTAATGCCTGGGACATTCCTGCATCATGAATTGTCCCAGCCAAAGTGGCAGTGGCATTACCGGTTGAGAAGCACCGTGCTGGAGGGTAAAGGCGGGAAGATGTAAAGGACACATTGTTTTTCTCTTGGAGATTTTCCATCTAGTGAAGAAATCAGATCAATAAATAATACAAGGTGGTTTATGATAAAGGCTTAATTGGACTGTGTGGACAGTTTTTCTGTAATGGGGGATCGAGGAAGGATTGTTGGGAGGGGTGGGTTTGTTTTGCATCTTAGAGGATGGATGGTGTTGGTGGCAGAGGGAATAGCTTGAGCAGAGACTTGGTATTTGGAAAAATGCAAGTAGAAAAGTGGGGACAGATGGGATTCATTGTACAAGGGAGAATGGACAGAATGTAGGGGTAAGAGAATAAGGAAGAGGACTGAAGTTTTTGGTTATACCTAACATCAGAAATTCGGAACATTTTTTTTTTCTTTTGGGCAGTAGGGGAGATTTTTAAGTTCTTTTTTGAAGATAATAAGTTTGAGGTGGAGATGGGTCAGTCGACATGCTGTATGGAGCTCAAATGACAGGTGGAGCCCAGAGACAGATTGGGAGGCATCAGACAGTTGTTAAAACCATGCAGTGGGCTGAGATTTTCCAAGGGGAGTGTGTGGGACAAAGTGAGAGCTTTGTCATTTAAGGGGGAGAGCTAAAGGAGAACATCTATTTAAGGAAATTGAGGAAGAACAGTGACAAAGTAAGGAGGGTTACCAGGGGATTGATGTTAACAAAGCCAAGAATGAAGACAGTCTGAAAACATTTCGTGAGGCAGAGTTGGAGAGAGAGAGCACAAGCGCGTGTGTGGTGTGGTCTGTGGGGACGAGGGGGGTGCCTTGCAGTATCGGACACTGCAGAAGATTGAACAGGGACCGATAGATTTTGAATCCGAACTTAACACCAGTAGTTTCAAAAGTCTACATTATAATTTGCTTTCATTTCTAGTTCTGTTACCTGATTGCCTTTTTTGGTGTAAAAATATGTTTTGATCAAGACAGAAATTGTAGTTCATAAAATTTCAAATTGAAACCACCTTCTTCTGTGTTCTTAATGTTCTTTGTAGGCTATGGTCTCTGTGCTGCCAAAGCACAGTACCCCATTGCTGACTTGGTAAAGATGCTCTCCGAACAGGGCAAAAAAGTCAGGTAAGTACTTGCAGTGAAAGCTTGTAGTGTGTGAGTGAAATAAAAGGAAAATAGACAACTATTTTTTAAAGTGGAGTTTTACATACATAGTCGCTAGTTGTCAGTTGTAAAAAACACTGTTCTAGCCTTAGTCTTACTACTTAGTCTTCATTATCTCTGTCTGATAGCATCAAACCAAAGTAAGTGTTCATTTTAGAAAGAGAAATTTTATCATAATAAATTCCGGGATGTTTATTAATGGGGAAAAACAGAAGTCCTGTTTCTTTGTGGTTTGGTTTGGGGAAGGAGGTCAAGCAAAGCATTTGTGTCTTTTTGGTTTCTGTTGTTCACGCTAAAGAAAAACACCTCAAATGAGAGGTGTTTGAAGAGTGAGACCCCATGGTGAACCTGTGTGGTCTGGTCAGTGTTTGACTGGTGGAGCTCTTACACTCTCAGGGTGGGAAGGACTGCTGAACATTTTCTTTTCCTAAAGCTACACATTTTTGAAATAGGAATTAGAGCAGCAGCTGGTTCTGCCACTTGCCATTTGGGCACTGGACTCTGCCTGGGAGGATGTTAAGCAGAATGGTAAAGTTGAGGACTCTGCATTTCTAGATTATTTCCCATGACCCTGGATAAAGGTTTGAGGAATGGAAAAATGGGGTCTGTGGGTGATTAACCCTTGGAGAACTTGGCGTCTGTCCCTCGCACTTTGGATCCCTGTTCTGGAACTGCTGTTAGGAGTCAGTGAAGGGACCTTCAGGGCTTAGGCCTGGAGGGTAACTGCTGCTTGCTTTGTGGGGAAGCTGGATTGTCGTGACCCTTCAGGGACTGAAGCAACACGCCCAAGGTCTTGATTCTTCTCTAGGCTTTATTGTCTAACCTCTCGCGGTGGTTACAGCAGTTGTCGGGAAGCTCTCCTCCCTCCCGGCGGGCTCCCTTATATTCAGTCACCCAACCAATCCGGGACAGTATCATGCGTGACCTTTAAGCGGATAGGTGTCACGCTCCACTCTAAGTGGGCAGCACGAGCTGTGCACGGGTACGAAAGTCTGCTGGGCCAATCCCCAACAGGGAAGAGGGGAAAGGGTGGTGAGCAGGAAGCAGGCGCCATCTTTAGGGCGTTGTCCAGCTAGAGTGGGGCTCAGCCTTGGCCGTAGGCCGGGCCCCCACACTGGATCACGAGTGGTTTCCTTGCAATGATCCGGTAGGTCAGAGACAAGATAACTCTATTATTAAATAAAACATTTGTTCACCAGGATGTTAATGTATGTTGACAATACTGTTACTGTCTCTCGATAAAAAATTCCTTTTTCATGCCAGTCTTACACTTCTGTCTGGGGACAGATGATAAGAAAATAAACCAAACCATGTGGCTTGGCCTAATCAGAGTATCTACGCCGGATTAGATGCAGAATCCTAGTCGTCAGCTTGAGGGTCCCAGCTACTCATAGTGGTAAAAGAGACTGAGATAATGAAACTAGAGGTTATCTAAAATGTTTTAACATCAGCTGCATTTTCTTTCTTCCCATCCTTTCTTTCTTATTCCTTCTTCTGCTCTGCCTACCTGCCATCTATTGTTTGTGTTTTTCAAATACATAGAGTCAAAATGTTACATTGTGGTAGGACCAGCTTTTCTGTGATGTAAATGGTTTCTATGTTACTGTGATCCTAGATGAACTGAAGATAGAAGATGAGAAAAGCCAATGACTTTGCTTTATAAATCTTCGCATGGGAAGTCTCACTTGAGCAACTTACTCCTATTTTCATGTAGGGTTTAAACAGTGCTTCCCTTTTAGTCATAGTCTTGCCACCTAAAGTATTTGCAGACTTACAAGTGGAAAGGATGTGTTAAAAAATATTTTATGATTTTTCTAAAATGAAATTGTTTTTCATTATTTAATCCATATGTGAAAAAGTCTCATGTATTATTAATGCCTTCTGTCACCACATAAATGTTTAGGAGATGAGTGGCAATCATAATCAAATAGAGAAAGAGGGCTGTCATGTCTTAGTTTTCCTTAGGGAAGTGAATGATTAATTCGACATACCTCTCTACTACTCACTAATTGTCCTAGGATGACCGGACATCTTGGAAAATCAGTTTAGTGGCAAGGTCGGACAGCATCTTAAAATTTTTCACCAGCTTGATGGAAGGCAGGATGTGAAAGGAAAGGAATGAGTGATAGAAAAAGTGATCTGAAAAGAAAAGGGTTAAATCAGATGGAATTTTAGTTTCTGACCAGATTAAAATTAGAAGTTTATCCACAAGAACATACTACTGTTTAGGATGATTTCTGTCATACTGCTTGGGGAAAGTAATTTCTTGACTTAAGATTTATGGGAGGTATTTAATTAAACATTTGTGAATAGTGTCTCAGTTATTTGTTTTTTATTGAAGTAATTTTGTGAATAGCACATCAGACTTTTCATGAGAGAGCTTCTCATCATTTCACATAATTGTCAGAGTTCATTTGAATAATTTATTAGTAATAAATTTATTGATAATTATGTAGGATTAAAATAAAATTATTGTTCAGTCTGATTTCTCAGGAAAAGTTAGCCATATATACTGATCTATTTCATATGAAAAATGAAGTTATGTATTAATACATTATTTTTTTTTACTATAGTATGTTAAATTCTCATCATGAGCTTTCTATCAAGTATGTAAATCTCACATTTGAATTAACTGGAGAACTATTCTTGCCAACACGATGACAGTAGATTATCATATTTTTCCTTTCTAGCTTCTGTCTGGAGATTTTTTTTTTAATTTAAAGGGCATCATAGAAACTTTGTTGAGTTTGCTCTGTGTGCCATCATCTCATAGGACAAATGCAAATTTTCTTTCTGAAGTTAGGAATATATATATAGATGCTGGCCTTTTTAAAACAGAGACAGTGTTTGTTTGAATAAGAGATGGCTGCGGCAGTTACCTCGTGCTTTAATGGAATAAATCTGTATTTACAGTTCATGGTAATTTAGCCCTTTCATCACTCTGTGGAGCTCCCACGGTGCTCATTGAGCGCAGCTGCTGGGCCTCTGGTTTTAGCAGATCTTTGTGCCTCAGGACCCCAGCATGCCTACCATCCAGATGTGACATATTCGCACACATCCCCTGTGGAAATGTGCCAGCATGGACATGTGATTGTCATCAATTAGTTATGCCCAAGTGGTGCCAAGAAAAATTGCATCTGTCATACAGTCTGCTGGCTTCATGGCCCATGATTGATTTAGAGACACTCCTGTTTTCCTTTACTTTGGCTATAGTCATAACATGCTCAGAGAGATTATATAATGAAGCATATGACATTTCATGATGAGCTCATATTAGGACATCATGGAAGTTCACTGACTTAGACTTTTCTTAGTGGCCAGGATATTATCGCTACTTAGTTGCCCAGATGCCTCTGTAACTTACCTCACTTGTGCTTGATCTCCAAAGGCATGGAGTTTTGGAAGTCTTATGATACAAGAGTAGAGACATTTTTCTCTTTATTTCCCAATTGGATTGATGTGATAGGCTTTTCATTATAAAGCAGTGCTCTCAATGAATAATTCTTAGAAAGGGTGTAATCTTTCTCTTTTCTCAATTAATCACTGCTTGATTTTCTTTTTCTAAAGTACTAGTGCTTCAATTATCACTGAAGTCTTGAATTTATGAAAACATGTTTCAACTTCTTGGATTGATTATGTTGCTTTCATGTTAATGTTCAACTGTACCCTTCTACTAATAATTTATTGATAGAATTATTAATTACTAGGTACTGAGAATGGAAGGAAGCCTAAGCCCATTTCCAACTCTCAAAATATTACAGTTTAAAATGAAAACCAATTTACAAATAAATGAATCAGTGAGTGAATTCCATTTAATGTGATTGTATGCTGAGAAAAGTAGAGTAGAAGTAGGAAAGCAATTCAAAGGAGAGGAGCAGTTAGCTGTTGGGGACATCTTAAACTCTATACTGTTCAGACTATGAAATTTTTTGCAAGTTTAAAAAAAAAATTCTTTCATCCTTCATCTAAGCACATCTAGCTACCAGTGTTATTTGCAGTTTAATAGTGTTTCACAGTGTCTGTGACATGGCTATAGGTTGAAATACATGTTATTTTTGCTAAGAATTCCATTCTTTGAAGATACTTGAAGACGAAATATTTTGTCACTCTAACTGCATTTTCCTGTTGTTCATGGATTACATGTAATATAAATAAACAGAGTTCAGCCTTCTTGGGGTTGTTCTGGAGTGCAGGAAGAGCTGGGATATGCAAATTTGTGAAGTAATAAAGGTACCTGCTTCTGAAGAGAATAGAAATTAGGCTAGATATAAGATCTAGTACAGTATTTGAGGAAAGAAATAGACATTATTTAGCAGTTTCATGCCCACCTTGCAATACTTTCTTTTTAGACATGACTATTCATGTCAATGCAGTGACCATTTGCTGAACAAATGATTATACAGTATTTTGTGCCAGGCACTGTTCTAGGTCCTGAGAATATATCAATGAATACCCAGATAAAAATTCCTGGCCCTGTGGAGTTGACATTTACTGAGAGTTTAGTTAATAGGCATTAAGACAGTAACTAAAGTAACTAAAGTAACTGAAGATACTTACAGCCCCAGTGTGTCTCCAGTTCACATGCTGGTTGAAATGAAGCTGATAGCTTTAGAATGGTTATTGTAAGTGAGTTTCAGAGTTACAGCTGGTACTGTTTGGTGATGAGCTAGTCAGTGCTTCTGGTTTTGTGAAAGATATTGTGTGTTTACACTTTGCACTGCGTCTGCTTTCTTGAAAAACATAGTGGGTCTGATGGACATTATTTGTGTAATTGGTCAAATGAGTGAAATTTTTGTTGAAGAAAGGAAAAGCAAGGGAAGTCCGTGCACTCACAACTACGTTCTGTCTAGTGTAGACTTGCCAGTAATCCCTCAGATCAGAGGTGCTTTTTGTTCTCCTAGAAAGTGGCCATCTTCCTCCCAGATTTTGATTGTTGCCCAGGTCACCTTTGACTTTGTACT